ATATCATAATTAAAAACTCTTTTTGAAAATCGAAGGGTACCCCATCCTTAAGTATGAAATTTAAAGAAAGCGTAATTCCCTATAAAACGTGTATAAAAAATAATTTTTTTCGTGTATATTCTGGAAGCAGCGTAATTCGCCGCCTGCAACTGCAGTCGGATTCTGCTAAAGTGCGCATTTTTCGGTCCGTTTTCTTTCCCTTTTTATTTGACGTCATCATGTCTACTGCCTCTATTCAGGTTGCGCGTCTAACGAGGCCCACTATTATTCAGTTTCAGACACTATGCTGTCCGATTAGTGCTGGTTGGTTACGGCTGTAAGTAGAAATCCCCCTTTCCAGTGGTCTTACGCCAAAATCCAGGCGGAAGCGGTCAGCGTGCCCTACTTTTAACCTCAAGCCTAAGCCCAAAACTAACTCTCTTATCCCTAACACCAGCACTAAACCCAACCCTAACTGCAAAACGTACCCTCCTATCTTTAGTCATAAGCACACAAATAGCCCTAACCTTCTAAAAGTTTAACACAGGGCTCCCTATAACACGGGGATCTTATTCCCATGCCTATTTTATAGTTAAGCTTGAGCTTAGCTTGTATTCGGCTTCAGGGGTCTGAATCTTGATAACTGTCACATCTGTGATAAAATCGGGATATCTGATAATAATATGCACGTGGGTTGGTCACCTCAGACGGGAAAAGGGAACTGAGAGCAAGCTGTTCCCGTGTCAAGGTTTTTATTATACTTAAAAAACAAGGTTTCTTTGGTTAGTATCAGTCCCTTTTACTATTGACGTGAGCTTGAGACGGACCAATTGACTATACTTCTGGCGTTTTAAGTATCCTGATTGGCCCAGCATTGTTAAGGCTTCAACTACACATAGTTTGACTGGGATTCCAATGTTTTGTCGAATTAAGCGACCTCGCGCTGATCGATTTTTTTCTCCTTTCGTTCAGTGACGGACTGGACAGTTTCTCACGCTAGGAGTCATCATTCCATTCTGCCGGGGGTAGGGGGGGGATTCGTTCAGTCTTTACAGGAGTTATTCGCTCCGCTGTCTCCTTTGTTCTTCCATCGGTCGACTTCTTTGTCTGGCAATGACTACGGGATTTGATTAATTTCTGTGTGGTTGTTTGATTCCAAACTTTTTATACGTAATGTCACACTTCCTTTATAAGCTGCAGGAAGATCCATGTGTCTGTTGATTGAGTTGGCATCTGAATTCAGTGCTTGGCACATGTACTAACCCCCTCTCTTAAGATAGTCGCTGTTTGAAACGCAAGATTCTGGTCTGTTTTTTCAGCATACGTTATCGCTCCAGTCAGCGTGCATAGCGCGATGGTTCTGAGCACTGAAAACGTCCTTTACCGGAACCAGAAACAAGACTTTCTTAGGGCCTATTTATATGGCCTCTTAAACAGGACACGGAATAGGGAAGCCCCACCCAAGAGATAAAGGTGACTCTGGGCACAATTCCAGGAAGGGCGTAGATACACCTTTGGCCTAGGGCCTAACGCGAATCTAAACCCTAGCTTTTAGCCTAAAAATAACTCTGCTC